TCTCACTTTGCTATGACTACACCACTACACTGTCGAACCAAAAATTTTTAAGTGTTTTATTTTGGGTTTTTTATTATGCCACAGTTCAAACGGTGTTTGATTTTGTTTTAGTGACTTAGTTGGTGTCAAGTTTATTAAATACGTTGCTGTGAGAACTGCTTTGCCCCAAAATGTTGTATCCAGATTAGCAAAGTGAATCATTGTTCTGGCCTTTTCGGTAATTGTCCGATTCATACGTTCCGCAACAGAATTTTGTTGTGGTGTATGTGGCACAGTTAAATGATAAGAAATACCCCTTTCAACACAAAAGTTTTTAAACTCGTTTGAAAGATATTCTCGCCCATTATCACAATACAGATTAACTAATTTTAAATTAAAATGTGCCTCACTTTTCGATACAAAATCTTGAAACGTTTTAAAAACTTCAGATTTGTAAGTCAATAAATAGGTGACTGTGTAGTGGGTAAATTCGTCAATAAATGTGACAAAATATTTTTTTTTCATCGATAGTAGGTGGAGTTATAGGACCACACACATCTGAATGGACAATAAATAATGGCCTGTCGTTTCAGAAGTAATGTTTGCTTGATATTTGAATGGTTTATAAATTCTTGGGGTAACAGTAATTAAATTATTTTGGAGCTTACCTTCTATTATTGTCTTGTTACCCTTTTTGATACTCACAGAACCATTTTCTGCTGTAGGGGATGACTGCTGCATACAGGACGTCCTCCAGAAACCCAGTCATTCCATTTTCAGTCGTTATGTGGATTCTTCCTTTTAATGTGGCTAGGATTGATACACCAAATTTTGCGACGGAAATTCGTATTGGATTTTCCAACTGGCTGTATGATGTGAATAAATTAGCTTGGTTCACCATATGGTCTGTGGCACCAGAGTCCAAAATGAATGTTAAGTTCGCTGACAACGCCTATCATTGTGTCGCTAAGACATTCAATTATGATGCTTTTAGCAATACGTTCATGTTTTTCCCTTTTTCTGTCTGGTTCCATGGGAGCTTCCTCGTCGAGTACTTTTATGACTTCTTCTTCAGCGAGTATCGCTCTTAATCGGAATTTCCAAATACTGTAGCGTTCGCCATCAAATTGTCTAATGTTTCTTCGGCTTTTATTGGAGTCCATGGTCACTTCACTTTTTAACAATTGCACACACGAAACCGAAACCGAAACCGTACACTTATTCAGTAAGTGTCTGGACCCATAACCTATTAGATTATTAATAACAACACAAGCAGAATGTATTTTATTATGTTGTTGATACAACGACTTCTTTAAGGCTCTCTTATTATACCATAGACTGAAATTCATCGATACAATTCGGTTGAGCTTAACCATTTATGCTTAGATCAGCGACTCAAAATTACGAGTCGAATTCTCTGAATACAAACATAGATTATGGCTTTTCTCCTTTTTGCTGACAAAGAGGAATGATAACAGTTATGTGGTATTTCCAATAATAAGGACATCTGAAATAATGCTTATTTTAGTGACTAAAAAATGACCACCCTTGGCGGTCCATTGGACGTCCATATATATCTTACTAATAGACGTCCAAGTATTGACGTCTTTCAGATGTCTTTTCTAAGTCAATTGACGTACTGACCAAAAATGACTTAATATGGGCGTCTCGCAGACGTCTAATTGGTCAGTTGTGCTACCTGGGAAATAAAATACTAAATTAACACACCCATTGACTGGCAAATCATTTTTATTCATCGTCATCTAAGAGGGTGTTCAGCGTATCCAACACTGACCTCTTAAATTGACGCACTTTAGCTGGAGCTAATTTATTCATATTCTCCAATAAACTTAGGAGGAAAAGTTCGTTAGACTTTGGACTCTCTGCATCCTTCTTCGTAAGTCTGACCTTTTTGGCTTGCATATAGGAAATAAAAGTCTCATCCATTTCGAGACCTTTAACTTTTTTCCTTTTTTGGGACGTGTCCGAAGGCTGTGGCGTTTCTTGATATGAAGAATGCTCTGGAGGCGGATCCGGATGAAATGGCAGAAATGAACGCCTTGCACGATCTCCATTAAATCAATCAATCCTTATTGATCACTGATTATATCCAATCATCCTTGGACAACGCACAGACATTGGTCGCATTCAGCAGACGACATCGATTATAAAGCGCTGACCAATTTTCTGCTGAATGCTCCCAGAATCTTC